CGCGCGTTGCCTCAGTTCTCATATAGCCTCTGGTTGGCTACCACAATCGGGGAATCCTGTGACTTTGGACTCTTGAGCCCTGAGTAGAAGCTGAGAGACCACAGAGTTGATGCCAAAGTAATTCTATACCCTCCATGTGGTGACTGGAAACCAGTGACTCAATTCATTCAGTCATTTCTTTGATAAGAAATAAATGACACTAAACACATGTACCATCGAGTGGCTTCTGACTCACAGCGCCCCTAGAGGACAGAGTAGAAGTGCCCTAGAGGGTTTCTTAGGCTGTATCTTTTTTTTTTTTTTTGTAATTTTTATTGTGATTTGGGTGAAAGCTTAGAGCAAATTCACTTTCCATGCAGCAGCTCACATACATGTTGACATTGTCTGCAAGTTCCCACAATGCAATAGCTCTCCTCCCAATCCCTCCCCATAGATACCTCTTCCCTGTAGCGTTCCCTCCCATGCATTCCTGCCGCCCTGAGCTGTCTCCCTGTGCAGATGCAGACCTTTTATTCTCCCAAGATTGATCTCTCCAAGGAGCGTATCTACCTACTTTAATGTTCAGCTTATATCCTGTCTTGTTTGGCTGGAAGCCACGGGAGTGGTTCAGTTTCAGACCTGAAGGGCAGCTAGGGGCCATAGTCTCAGGTTCCACCACACTCTATCAGACCAGCAAACCTGGTCTCTCTCTCTCTCTCTCTCTCTATATATATATATTTTAAATGATTTTGAGTTTTGTTCCACATTGTTCTCTCTCTCTATCCAGGATCTCCTACATAGATCCCCCTCTGAGTGGTTGACAGTGATAGTCGGGCACCATCTAGTTCTGGTCTCATAGCCATAGAGGCTGAGGATCGCATGGCGTACCAGCCTCTTGGACTAATTGTTTCCATGTGTCTTGGTTTTCTTCATTCTTCTTTGTTCTGGATGAGGAGAGACCCATGCATCCAGATGGCCTCTTGTAAGCTTTTAAGATCCCAGTCGCTACTCTCCAAAGGAGGATGTGGAACGATGTTTTGTGTAGTATATTATGCCAATTGAGCTTGATGGCCCCTGTGACTGTGGTCCTGAATCGCTGTAATCTTTAAGGGAGCAGACTGCTGGGTCTTTTCTCCTGCGGTGGGCTCAAAGCTCCAGCTTCTCAGCTAGTGGACAAGACCTTAAACATGGTGCTGCCAGGGCTCCTGATAAAATACTGCTGTTGTTCTGTGCCGTCGAGTCGGACCCGACTCACAGCGACCCCTCCTTGGGTTTCCAAGGCAGTATCACTACGGAAGTCGATTGCCCCATCTTCCCTCCGAAGAGTGGCTGGTGGGTTTGAACCACCAGCCTTCTGGTTAACAGTCAAGTGCCTTAGGCACTATGCTACCAGAGGTCCCAAAATTTTAGTATGTGACAACTCCAAATGTTTGGAATATGGGCATTTATATTATTCCTTGAGCTTTACTTTTATTTTCAATTCTCCCCCCTGCAAGATTCATTTATGCTGAGTATGTAGAGTTTAGGAGTGCTAGCGGTGCAGCGGTTAAAGCACTTGACTGCTAACCAAAAGTTTGGCAATTCAAACCTACCAGCTGCTCTGCGGGAGAAAGATGAGGCACCCAGTTTCTGCAAAGATTCTTAGCCTTGGAAACCCTATGGGGCCTTTCTGCTCTGTCCTCTAGGGGCTCTGTGAGAATCAACTCCATGGCAGTGGATGTGGTTTGGGCTTTGCTTCTGTAAAGATTGACAGCCTTGGAGACCCTGTGGTGCAGTTCCACGCTGTCCGCTAGAGGCGCTGTGAGTCAAAATTGACTGGACAGCAGTGGGTTTGGTTTGGGCTTTGCGTCTGTAAAGATTGACAGCCTGGAAAACCCTGTGGGGCAGTTCCACTCTGTCCTCTAGGGGCGCTCTGGGTCAGAATTGACTCCACGGCAGTGGGTGTGGTTTGGGCTTTGCTTCTGTAAAGATTGACAGCCTGGAAAACCCTATGGGGCAGTTCCACTCTGTCCTCTAGGGGCGCTGTGAGTCGGAATCCACCAGATGGCAGTGACTTTGGCCGCTTTTGGTGTATGTAGCGTTTGTGATTCTGGTCTTGACTGTCTGCAGAATTTCAGTCATTTCAAGAGTCTGGAATTCAGAGATCCCGAGATTCTCCGAGCCAGTCATAAGCATTTCCAGGAGGCTGTGACTCCGTAAGTTCTATGTGTGGCTGTCTCAAATTGCTGACGGTTCAGAATTTGACAATCCTGAGACCCTAGGATTGAGATCTGTAATCTTTGCCAGACAGGATTTCATTCCAAAAGACTGAAAGGACAGGCTCGAACCGTTACCCCTGGTTCTCGCTCAGTGCTGAGTGGGTCCTCTTCCTTCCATGTTTGTCTATTTCCTTCATATTCCGTACGGAGTCTGTGTATTCCTTTCAAGTGAAAACTGTTAACTAAATATAATTCTGTGTGATAACACAGTCATGCACGCAGCTGTGATTTTTATGACTCAAATGATAAGATTCTGTCCTTTTCAGGATTGGGGACGTCAAGTACCAGTCATAACCAAGGTCCACAAGAAAAATCAAAAGTTGCTGGTGAGTCATTTCTGACTCATGGGGACCTCGTGTGTCAGAAGAGAACTGTGCTCCACAGCGTTTTCAACGGCTGCTTTTTCCATCGGTTGTCAGACCTCCTGACACCTCTGGCACCTTTGGGTAGGCTTGAACCTCCAACTTTTCAGTGACCAGCTGAGTGTGTTACTATTCGGACCACCCAGGGGCTCCACAGTCCAGGACGCTAACTTTACAATTCTAAGTTCCTATTATCCAAACCCTCAGTACGCTTGGTTTCTGGAATTGCACCATTCTGAGACTGTGGTGCCAGCATTTCATTCCCGATTTCTGTGATTTTTCAAGTTTCTTTGGGGCCAGTCCTTGTGATTCTACAATGCGACAACTCCACCATTTTAAGACGTTGTCATATTTCATGATCCTGACCCTTGACATTCCTTGGCTCCACCCTCAGCAGGGCCTGGGAGCAGGCATTTTGCGGGGTCCACACGGGCTCCAACTTCTATCCAAATGCACCTGGTATTCAGAATTACTCCATGTATCTGCTCACACATAGACCCCTCCCCCGGCCAAGAAC